CTGAGCACTGAGCACTGAGCACTGAGCACTGAGCACTGAGCACTGAGCACTGAGCACTGAGCACTGAGCACTGAGCACTGAGCACTGAGCACTGAGCACTCTCTACAATTCAGGAATCTCCCCCCCCCCCAACACTCTCCCTTCCTAAAAGCACAGGTTCCCCTTCCCCTGACTGCTATTATACGGACTTCTGCTTCTCCTCAGGAGTGTCCAATTAAGCACAGGGCCAATCAGCTGAAACCTTTCCTATCTGTTGAATTCCATTCCACAGGAGCCCAATCAGTTAATCCAGGCAGGTGTGTCCAATTTACCCCAGTGAAGGAAGAGGTTTAAACTAAGCCTTCCTCCAAAACAAGAATCATATGACTCAGGGAAACATCTGACATGCATTCATACATTAATATGAAACAGCCCTCTCATTGGTAATCACAAACAGAAGGACTGTTTTACCACTCCTGCGTCGGGTCTTCTGCATTAGCTTGACCCACAGCACAGCATACAGGCAATTTGATTTGCTCCCCCAATATAATAAACATATTTCACATTTCTTTTACACAATATGCATCAAATAGGCTTTCAATTGAAGTCACAGCAGTCCATAAGGGTGTGCCTATGGGTTTGAAATAAACCCATAAAGAACTACCTTATTACTTACTGGTGAAAAATCATTTGTGGACTTTTAGTATTCAGCAATATAATAGTGTGTTGAAACAGGATTGGTTGAGAGAAACATTGTGACCTTGGTTCTGGCTTGGAAGCAAAACAAAAGCCTAAACTTTTAACTCGATGCCCAAGACATTTTACTTTTGACTCAATAAACAGCCCCTTCGATCCAGGCCATTGCCCACCCAGTCTGCTCCACCCCAAACATTTGCTGCAACTAGTTTCTTGATTTAATTGATCATCAGCAATATCAACACAGGAATTAAGGAGCTGGCTGCATCAAACTTCAGAATTGGAGTCGATTATGAGGGTTTATTCCTCGTCTGTATACATCTTCAGCTCCTCTTTTAGCATAACTCTATCACTGTTAATTCTGTACACATCCCAAAGCCCTCTGATGCCACTGCACATCTCTTTTACAATTCATTTTAAATACGCAGCCCTCCCACACTGTCACCTCAATGCCCAGTTCCAGCATTTTCTAGCATTCCTAATTACTTCTTGCTGGCAATCGTTTAAACAATAACCTATACAAATCAGGGTTTTAATCATCAAGATAAAAAAAAGTCCTGACTGGTAAAATTGTGGATGAAATAATCTAAGAATAAAAGCGATTAGATGTTTGTCCTCCTACCTTCCATGTCCCGAGACCCACAATGGGAATTTTTGCTCCCGTGTTCAGCACCACCTCAGCTGCCATCGCAAAATCTAAACTAGGTGTGAGCGCCCAGTTCAGTAATATGAGCAGAACTTTACAAGCACGGTTTACATACTCCGGTCTCCCGAGAAATAAAAGAACTTACTTTGCAGGTGGAAAATCCTGATTGGTTCTTCTAACTAATCGGGAAAAGAAAGTCTACGCCTTCATCCATTATACTGCATCCCAGAAACAAATACCAAAGCGCAGCCTGCCTTAAACGATTGTGGAAAAGGTAAAATGAGCCCACTTCACAATTGTGATACTTAAATGGAGAATTAAAGAAAAAGGTAACTATGTATTAGGTGAAGTTATACCTCATTGCGCCGAATGCAGGTGGAGCAGGTTCACGGAGATCTCTGGATGCACATTTTAAACTGATCTAACTGATTTAAACTGACATTTTCTGGTGTCGGACGGCATCCAAAGCTGTATTTTAACCCCGTGGAAATTCGAAATGGTGCGAGAGTACGAGACATTTAGGCGCAAACACGCAAGTGAAATGAAAAAGAATTAAACAAGTGCAGCGAACATGCTGTTTCAGAGGTTAATAGCAATTCATTATTCATCCACTAGAGGGGGGTGTTGCAATCTGGTTCATGTCCCTGGATAAGCAGACTACCTGCCGTCTATTCTCATCGGCGAAGGCTGCCGCAGAAACGAGACTTCACATTATACCACGATTACAAACTTAAAAATGGACCGGTGGCTTACTGCTAAAGTTAACAACAGTGGTGAACGTGAAACTGTTAAAGCAAATTAATGAAAGGCGCTGACATGCATTTATGTATGCATAATGTCAATTATATTGCGTGAGTGGGTGTGACGAGGGTGTTCGCTTTGTTTTCTCAATGGGTTTTGGGTTGGGGGGGTGTTCATGTCAAAAAAGTTTGAAAACCCCTGCTCTAGAGGATAGTAAAGCACAGTACACACTTTGTCCTTTTGTATACATTAATAAGTTTTAATGCTCAAAGTTTAAACGGACTTTCCGTGAATTGTCTTCTATTGAACTCTGAAAAAACTATACTAATACAATTATATAACAATAATGCGATCTTCTCCATTAATAGCCATGCCAGTATCGTTATTGTAAGTAAAAGTACATTGAAACATTCCACACCTTAAGAATATCTAGGCATCTAGTTGGATAGTGATTTAATTTTTAAAACACATTAATACAAAAACCTGGAAACTATAAGCTTAAGGCAAGTCTAAAAGTCAATTTCTTTATCACTACAGATCTTTTTGTGTGCTTTCCTCTAGGCCTGCACTAGTTTGTGTGTCTCCTTTCCCCATCTTGGACTTGTGAGGCCTCTAAAGTGCCCCTTCATTAATTTGTAATTTAATTCATGAATTCATTAATTTTCAGAGCTATCCCTAATGACCCCACACAATCACAATCACAGTCATCATGGTGATTGCATTATTTGGCGGATTAGGCCTTTCCGCATACAACACAAAATGATTTACTGTTTAAAATTAATGTTTAAAAGCACCTTCCTGTCATACCAATTTATTGCTGTTAATTAATCATAATTAATTAACAGCAATGATAATTGTTAATGTGGTAGTCAAATTAACTTCCCAAATGCAACTATCAGTTTTGTTCACAATTTAAATTTAAATTTGCAACTCCAAATGGCCAGAATAATCTGCAGAAGGGGAACAAAACCACTCAATTTTGTATCTGGAAATAATTACTCTTGGATGATTAAATCTTTTCTGCCTGACCCTTGCATGTGTTGACACTGCCACATCCTGTTATATTGTGACACTCTGTGTACGTTTAGTTCCTTTTTTCTTTTTCTTTCACAACAATGTGTTCTGTGCAGAAATGGCACATTACAAATACTTACTTGTGCAGGATTTGTTCTGTAGCTACGGGCTCACCTGTCCACAATGAGAAGGGAAAAGCTGTTCAGGCTGGGAACATGGCCACTTCTGCATCAAGCTTTGTGAGATATTTGTGTTTAAAAGAAGAAGAAGACCTGATTTCACTTTGTGAAGTAAAATGCTGTAATCTTTCTGTGCAGACCTTTGCTTCTGTGTGCATTGTTGTTGTTTTTTTTTTTGGTAATGATAAAACTAATGTACAGTATATGTGAAATCATTATGTTTCCATATTTGGCCCCCTGTCTTTGCTAGCACAATGACAATAGTTATAGAAATGTAATTGTTAACTAAAAAAAAAGATGCAAGAAAAAAGGCTAATCATTGCATGCATATTTTACATGTAAATTGTTTCATCAATAAACAAAATGTTTTTTTTCTAAAACAAATGAAGTGTCTAGTGGTACCTGATAGTCTAAGGCCAAGTTGTTATGTGCAAAGCAGCTCCTGGGTAAATTCTAAGAGATTACTCTACCAGCATGCTGTATTAGGTGTTGTTTTTTTCATGCAGTTCTCGATACAAGCACTGACAAAGCTGACAAAACTATTTCCCAGATTCCTCCTCTAGATGAAGGAAACAGCATGGCTCTAGCAACAGTGTTGTTGAATGCTTAGAACTTACTTGTTTGCAGAACATTAAGAAAGAATTGCAAAAGTGAGTATTCTTTTTGCTTCATGTGAAGCTCTTACTGCAAATTTCAAGCCAATAGGTTTTTAAACAGTCTTGCTACATATGGTTTTTGTAAGTCTTTGCATTAGCACAGAACACCTGGAATTCATTAGAGATTAAATTATAAATACTGATGTTCACAGGTCCTGCAACTACAGTCACAAGAGTAGTACTACGTCAGCTAAATGGCTTATGTCACTTGTGAATATCTAACCACAGTCTAATAAAAACACAGGAAAGGCTGCAGTCATTTGCTAGTAACAGTAACTACGTGAAACTGAAATTTCATCCAGTTATTCCTGTCCAAATCAAGGATTTGGGCCTCAGCCATTTGACTGGGAAGCCTGTGCTATCCAAAACTTTGTCTAGAGAAGCCTTTCCTACTCTCCAACCTCAATGAATTCCCTTTCATTTTCTGAGTGTTACAGAGTTACAAAAATAAATTTTAAAAAATGAAGGGATAAAAAACCTTCTTTAAAAATACTTTATTTGACTATAACAAATAATAGCAATATATAGACAATCTCCTCTTAAATATATAAGCCAATATAGACTAAATTTAGACATTTTATTATTTTAATTACCCTGGTATCCCTCAGTTAACCTCAGTGGTCTGACAACACACTTTGCATAGAAAAGAATTAACAATGGATCTATACGTGACAGCAGTGGAACAAAGCTGAAAATAAAAACACTTTGCTATGAACTTTTCAGGGCTGAAATCTTGTGAAATGACTGAATTACTGAATGCAGAGTGGATAGCAATAACCTAAAAAACATGTATCTTGTATTATACTGTACCTGCTTTGCTACAAAATCACAAAAGTCTGTTTTGCCGTAACAGATGATCCTCTTGCTGTAATAACACAGGATTAACAGAAAAGAAACTGATTTGACACACAAATAAAGTATTGATTTTCCTCTCCTTCCCATGGTAGAAGACATGTAAAGAACATATTTAAGTGAGGATGGCACCATGAATTAATTACATACTGCATATACATAAGCCACAGGGAACAATGGAGTATTTTCTTAACTCACACATTCCACTTTAAAGTGGAAATGAAATTTAAATGTTACATTTAGCCCTGTCAGATCTTCCGACATGAGGTTGAGGCTCACTGCAAATGGTGTGCATTACACACAAATGACCTTCAATGTTAAATGCAAAGAAACATGCATTGCTTAGTTGAACACTGTGCTATCAAGGACCCCTCTTGCTCATTTGGTATTTTAGTACCTGTGTGAACCTAAAACTTTGTCCAGCAATTTTTCTTGAAGAGCCCAGAGCTTGTGCCTGTCTCTAATACATCCCTCATTGTACAATTTGAATTCCTCAATTGTTTTCTGTTTAGTGCTGTTCCTAAAAATGTAAGAGGCTGCATTTTAACATTTTATTGTGATTCTTAAGTAACTTAAAATCTCCAACCTTTCAGCCCCTTTAACCTGTATGTGACATTCCTTTCAGACTTTTAAGTTATTCTGATAGCACTTCCACAAACTCTTTATATTGTGGCAACTTCATTTGTGTATAGTATTTCAAAACGTCTCTAAATAGAGCATTGTATAAACCTAAACATAATTTGTTTTAATTGCTGCTCCTTTCACTATAGATCCTGGAATTTTCCACAGGAGGCTGCTATTAGGCACTGCCTTCCATCTACGTATTTGAAATTCATATAGGAGCATTTTGCTACAGATATTGTGCTTGTCCGCATGAAACCTTGCCTGCCTCATGTCTTCCCATCAGCTGGGTCATGTGCATTCAAGAACTTAAGTATATAATTAAGAGTGCAGTAAGCTGAGTGCAAGTAAGCAATGAACTGAAATACGACAGTGAAAAGAAGGAATTAAAAGTATATAGTTCTGGCATGCCTGTGTGTGTCATGTCCCTTAAATGCAAAGAAACATGCCCATCTCCCTGAAGCAAGCAAAACTGTGGGCACTGAAGAAAGACATATTGCCCCTCTGTACTAGAGGGTGAAATATAGTATAGCTTCCATGCAGGAAGGGTACTCAGTCTGTTTAGTTTGCAGAGGAGTTTGCTCTTCTGTGATAGAGCCACTCATCGCTGAGGCATCATCGTGCAGGGAGCATCCTAGCCCTGCCTGTCTCTGCAGTGCGTGGCAGGTCCTCACTCTGTGTACTCCGGAGGGTGGGATGGCTTGGCTTCTGCAGACTCCACTTGGTTTTCCAGAGTTTTGTAGGGGGTGTTACCTCTGTCCTGCACCTTGGGCTGAGCATTGGTCATGTGCTGCACAACCACGATGGGCTGGAAGACAACGAGGGAAGAACATAAGAACCCCAGGGTTTGAGGAAACTGTCGATGTTGGGTCAGCGTGAGGTCAGGGTTGCTGTGTAAATTCTGAATGTTTCCATGAGTTTCAATGTCGGTGGTTGTGATAACCCATGAGAACTTTATTGGTCCAATAAACAATAAGATGTAGAAAGAGAAATAAGAAAACTTTAGAAGGACAACTGGCTCTTTATCTCATGACTCATGATTCTAATGACTCTCATTCTGCTTACAGAGCAGGTACTGTAGCTCTCTTCTGCTGTGAGTGAGAGGTACGGTACTCTATACAGTGACTCTCTGTCGCAAAGTTGCCCACTATCCTCTATAATGAATCGCTCATTCACAGAACTAACCACTCTCTTCTACATTTATGCAGATTCTCACAGTGCTGGCCAAACGTCCTTTAACTAAGAGTCTCTCTCACAAAGAGCTGGCCACTCTACAACCTGTGGTTCCCATCCCTACTCCGGGGGAACCTCTGTGTCTTCTGGGTTTTGCTCCGACCAAGTCCTTAACCCCAGGCTAAATATTTCCTCTTTGAGGCATATCTTTTAAATGTCCTTTCTTCCCTTAAAAGCAAACAGGATTTTAAATTGGTATTAACCCCGTGCAAATAAGTGAGATTCAGTGTCACCTCCCAGTCAACTGTAATTGTAGAAAGTGATCGATTGAACTTAAGTAGAAGCAAGAAAATACTAAATTGCTGTGGTAGTGTTTGATATATTGTCATTCTGATCTGTATTTTGTTATCATACACTGGTCCTGTTAAGAGCTTTTCAGTCAGAGATAATTAAACAAGAAGCTGCCTGATAAGACCCTGGCACCAATAGCCTAAGGATAACCTAATCAGTAATAATGGCCTCTCATGCTGTGTTCATATGGAATATTTAATACCTTCTCCAACATGAACCAGTCTTTCTTACCGCAGAGTTGTCGTAGCAAACAGCGTTGCAGGTGAAGGCCGAGGTGCTGATAGTGATAGCAAACTCTAGAATTGTGAAGACCAGCAGGATACCCTTGATAGCACTGTGCAGAACAGACTGGAAAGACATAACACAAGGAATGTGTTGAGCTTCTGAGTTCCAACATAGTCATAATAAAGGACAGAGATCCAGCAATACTGGGCGATTCAGATTGAATACCAAAACCACACATGTACTCACACGGCTGTAAGACTGGTAGAACAGACCCAAGTCTAAGGAGTAGATGATTATCCCAAAGCCTGCTGTGATCGTGCTGGTGATATTCGTAGAGAGGGAAGCCTTCAACTGCAAGAGAACAGAAGCAAATGCCTGTTTATTTCCTGAGATATCTCAAATGTGAGATTTCAACTTATATTCACCACAATCTTACTTCAAATTCATGGGCAAAGTAGACCTTTTGCTTCTCTCACACCGAGAGCCCAATAGCACTATCATTTGTGCATTACAGGGAGGGCAGAGGCACCTCTCATTGACAGAGCTGGAAGCCCAGTGCAGAATCATCAGTGTCCTTATTAACCCCAGTGTCCATGCCAGTATAGGCGAGAGAAAAACCTAAAGCTAAATTCAGATTTGTTTTCAACCAAGCTTTAACACACTGTGATTTTGATCATCTTACAACACTTGACATCTATCCTGCTTTCTTCTAAAAGAACAATGTGCTTTTTTTCCAATAAAAGCAGAAAACATGGCAAATAGCTTCATAGCTCAAATCTAGATGTATTATCCAACATCCATTTTTACCGTCGTGGAAATACCACAATGTCTAAAAAGCACTGAGACACAATCAGCAGTATAAGAGACTTTCCCATGTTTTTGAGGCAGTAGGGCCTGTAGGAATTGTGCTGAAATGCCTAAACACTGTCTGTGCAAGAAATAAAGCTAGAGCACCTTCAGGAGCTGTCTCTACTGGTCTAGTCTATGGGCTAAATCGAGACAGAAGATTTGGACCTGCCGTGCCTAACAGACCCTAGACTCTCAGTGTGTGGGATTCACAGCACCAGGGGAGACTAAAGACTTTGTGTCCAGTAGATTCCAGACCCTTTGTGGGAGAAACCAGTCCAGGTGGTTGAAAGGAGCTGTGTCTGATCATGTCAATGCTGACTTACCAGAGGGAAACTCAGCTTCTTTTCAGCTGCAACAGACAGAGCCCCAGAGGCGATGAACTGCCATAAGAAAGAAAAGGGTTTTATAAACAGATGGAATATCCTTCCAATATTAACGTTGAGTACAGGAGAGGCTGCCTGCACAATTTAGTCCAAGCAAGTACTGAATCTTGTGATTACTACAGATTGTGAATGCTAGAGTTAACAAACAGCAATAACTAGTTCTCCTCAATCGCCTTGATTGTAGTTCTCCACCTTTGTCAAATAGCGCTATTTCTCAACAGAATAATGAAGGAGGTGGCTGAAACATACTTCTGAAACGTCTGTGGATTGGATCAGCCACAGATAGAGTAGCCTTGCGTTAGCCACAGTGTGTGGCTCCTGCACTTTCATGCTGATTGTGCAAGAACAGGGACAGCAATTCCACTAACAGTGCCTAAGATGTTACTCTAACACACAGTAGTATTTAATGTGTTTATCTTTTTTATAATATTTTTATGTGCAACTCCTACCATTAGCCCTCCCCAGAAAGGGATTCCAGTAAGCATTGAGAAGAAGCCATACTCCTGCGTCATCACCACTCCAGAGAATATGGACAGCAGTCCTACTGTGATCTGAACAGCCTGGCCATGAAAAGAGACAAGACAGGGACATAAAACTCAGATCAGAATGTTGTATACTTAAGAGACCCCCTTACACTAGTTTACTACAGTGTTATTACACTGTGACACTGAGTTGTGTAGCAAGCCCAAGAAGTGTACTGCAAAGAAACTGTCTTTATTTGACCAACTTAAAGTACACCAGCAGAGGTTTAGGTCAGTTTGGTCCTGCAAGTGTTAGTATATGACCTCTGACTCCTAGAGTTCTGGATTAATAGTATTAGTAAAGCCCCAGAGCTTTGAGCTGCCTTACATACAGTGAGCTCTGAAATCCAGGGCTCTGGGCTATTACTACAGATGCTGATCTCTAACCCCACTAGGCTGGGGGTGGCGAGAGTTATTACAGATGGTGAGCTCTTTACGCAAGACTCGCTGTGATTGTGAATGCAGAAGACGGATTCTCACCCCCAGGGTCTTAGGCTCGCCGTTGAGGAATTTCTGTAGAGGTGCAGACAGACTTGAGCTGTTTGGCACACCAGCAGGCAGAGAGCCCTGGCTCTGTGGACAGACCTGGGTGACTATTACCATCCCATTGTCTGTAGTCACAGAGCTGGCCATATTTAACTGTGTGCAGCTTCCTAAGAAGAGAGGCAGGAGAAAAGAAGAGAAGTTGCATTGATATTTACTGTTACACAGCGCCTTGAAAAAGTATTACGACCTTTCTCATAGTGTCCCATTTTGTGAAATTACAACATGATGCATGCCTGTTTTTAAACAAATGAGTGACGAGTGAAATAAAATTTACTAGGCCAGCACGGTACAAGCGAATTGTAGTAACCGTGCTCACAAGCAACTTTCCAACATCCCTGGTACACATCCCTAGTAAACTAAAGAAAAATAGCTGTGTGTTTTGAACTATTATTTATTTATGTACTGCACTATTACACACGATATATTGTGACCGTGCATTCATTTTTAGGTGTTAAACGCACGGCTACAATTTTAAAAAGAAGATACAGTTAAAAAAAAAGAGGTTAGTTTTTTTCCTGATATAAACATGAGTTACTTATGAGCAACATAGAAGTCGAATATAAATTCACGCATTCTTTAGAATAAACTTACCCCAAACTCAAGTTATACCGGTCTTGCGCAGTATCTCCACTGTACTCTAGAGTGTGCGGGTTTGAACTCCAGGTTCATGAATTCTGTTTTATATAGAGATCGGCCGGGAGGAGGGGAATTCCCGTTACAGGATCCTTGCTCAACTCGGGCTTCTGCTTAAGAAACGCAGGAGGTACTGCGTTGCTCGATAACGTCCCTTTGGCACTATACCAGCGAAGACGTACAATTATCTCGTACATTTGAGCCTGCCTTGACATACTGAAATGAACTTTCTCTTGGTTCTAGTGATGTTATCTGCAGGAAGAGTAAGAGTAAAAGAAGTCGTGGTAGCTTTTTCCGGGTCCAACTGGATCCGTTTCGGACTATTACAGGAAGCTAGGCGCCTTTGGCGCTGTTGAGCTACAGTTTTTTATTATTTTTTTTTATTTATGCTTAACAAAAGAAGAAAAATTACAAACCAAACAAGAGTACATATAACAATTCAAGACAAGGGGTACATATTACTACATAAATTCAAGTTATGAAAAAATATTAAACAAATTAAATAAAAATAATGTCCGCATTGCTTTCATATTTTTGCACATCGAAAAAGTCTGCAAATACCCCCTTACTCCCATTTTAAAATGCTCAAAGGGTACTTCCCATACCACTTCATTTTATGTATATAATAACGTGCCATTATAATAATTAAATTTATTACAAACGAAATGTTAATATTGTTTTCGATGGGGCTGAAACTTAACATCTTTTTCATCAAAAAGCTGTTGAGCTGCAGTTTGGTGCGGTGTGTTAAAACGTGTGTTAAAACGTGTAGTCGTTTTCCTCCCTGGTTTAACAAACGTAGCAGTTACAAAGCCCATCACTACTACCAAAGATCACTGTGTAACTTGAAGGTTTTGTCTCATGGTAGAGCCAGCTGCAGTTGCTATTGTAGTCTTTTCTCCACAAGTACATCTGTGACTTTTACCTCTGTCCTGTTACTGCTGCTGCTAATTCCATTACTACCTCAGCTGCTGTACTGCTGTTTCACCGCCGCCAATTCTAATACCGCCATTACAATTACCGCTACTTCTATAGCTATCACAATCACTGCGAATGTTTGTCTTAATAACGCATGTATCTGTTACTTGATGACTGGATTTCCTCTTTTTGAACGGGAAGGTGTTTTTACTCTAGAAGAGCTCCGCTAGGTCAGGACGCGCTGTCCGGGCAGGCAGGCTGTGACTCAGCTGCGACGCACTTGAGGGAACACGCTGTACACCAGCTGCTGTCAAGACACCCCCTGAATGACTTCAAGCCGATTCTCCCTCGCTTCCTTTTTCTGGACGGGACCCTCAGTCCACAGGAAAAAAGCGCACGTACTGTTCATGAAATGAAATGATGTCAGAAATAATGATGACATTATGAAGTAGTTATGACTGGCTGTGGAGTACACACCTGTTATTGTGCATTTCTGAAACCGAAGATTATTTAACATACTTCGCAAATTAGTAAACATCTCAACAAGTATATGGATATTCATACATTATATACTGTATACTTTATATGCATATGTAATAGGCTGGACAAAGTTATTCCAAATTCACTTATATTCTTACCAAAATCAAAACCCTTTTTTTTGCCTCTGCTTATTCTTTGAAATAGAATGATATGGAATTTGCTCATCTCGGGACTTGTTTTAACCGTAAGACTTTTTTTTTTAATCAGTGTCTGAGATTGCTCCCACTATTGCAGTGTTGGGTACAGTGATGGTCCTTCAAGAATCTAGTCAGGCCAATCAGATATAAGTGCAGAGTATGATAGGATGGTAAAAAAAATAATAACGGTGTGTTTTGTTTTTTTTACCTTGCTCTCTCACCACCCAACACGCTGTCTGGGTTAAATGGGGTCTCTAGAGTGTCTCTGTGTTCTTGTGTTAGTGTGTGTGCACTCTGTGATAAGCTGGCATCCCATCATGCATCCTGTGCTTTTTCAGCTTCTGCAACCTTTACTGTTTGTGAAATATCAGTGCCAGTAACTTGGTTATGAGGACATTTGTGGCTGTGCTTAATTTCTTGCGTCCTAGATAATTACTTTGCCAATCAGCTGTGGCCAAGTGCTCCATTGTCTATCCGTCCCTGTCGGTATAATTTAGTTCCCCTACTTTTATTCAGACATTGAACTTGCCTCACTATTAATCTGGCAGTCAGCTTTTCCAGGCTACCCAATCCATCCGAGTAGCTCACTGGCGGTACCTAGCACTTTTCTTTAAAGGAACTTTGCTGGCGTGCTCTACGCTTTCAAGGATATACTGTAAGCTCTAGTTTTTTCTCATACGCAGAAAAAAAACTTTTGAGTCACGTAAGACTAAATGCATTTTAATCGCACGCCAACAAAATCCACTTACGGAAAAAGTAAACCTGGCTTTAGGTTTATTACAGTGTACACAGACGTATTTCGGTTAGGCAAAAAAAAAAATGTTTCGCTCGTGAGAACGCCTGTATTTTACCCCACCCGTGCACTATTTTACAAGCTGTTACGCTACTGAAAGTATTATTCTGCCCTCTGTTGAACTAAGAAGAGAGCAGCGCCTCCATGTTTCGGTAGGAGACCGCACCACACCGCCAAGAGGATGAAAAAGCGGATTTGCAAATAGTTATGAATACGTTTCCTTGTTTGTTGCAGCTCACGTTCACCCACCTCAACTAAAGCCAAAACTTTGCTTAGGCGCAGAGTCAAGATACAGCTCAGGAAACAGTAAGCCACTCACCAGTCTGTTTCTTCAGCTCCCTCTGGTGGTCTAGCAGGGAATTGATTCTCCCACCCATTTATTCACGCGTGTAACCAAACGCCATGACATAGTACTGTAGTTAAGTTATTCACCGTAGTTAGGACATCAGAAAAACGACGCCAAACCACTCTTTGCGTGGAAGGAAGGCTGAAGGGGAGGGCTTTTGCATAAAATCTCATTATAGTGAACCAAGACATTTCATGTCTGAATCAATGCAATAGAACCAACAAGTACGAAGGGATTTCAGATTCTTAGGTGTCTCAAATCTGAGCTCTCTGCACTAATCACGTGTGTGTCTTGGTTTGTCAGTCTAATGAGGAAATAGGATTATGTGATGATACATTTGAAAAAGATTTCAGGTTTGAACATAGCAGTAATCAAGTTTAATTTTTAAATCAAGCACAGGCATTTTTTTAAACAAATGGTTTTATTCCAGAAGTGTGTATGAAAACAACTAAGCGGAATGTTCTTTAACATGAATGATATAAGAATTTCTTTTTTCAGTCTCTCATTGGAGATGTGCAGATGGACAGATTTGTCTTGACTGTAAGACAGGAATTAATATCTATGTCTGGAAGTATATCATGCCGATGAAAGAAAAAATACATTGAGTTATCAGAACATTCACGGACAGTACATTCTGTCGTTCTGCTAAATGACAGCAGCAGCACTGAATTCTTGTTCCTTATTGATTCTAACTGATGAGTTTCTCTCATTAACACATCAGCACCTCAGTTATGTCAGACTGCAGGCCTGATTTACCCGGCAAATGGACTGTAGGCTAATTGCTCATCTAATGAATGTGCTAAAGAGTGAAAGGTTTGCACACCATATACCACAGTATAAAACAAGGACCACTGGGTTGAGTCTGAGGTCATTTCAGTTCTGAGGCTCAGCTTTTTTCTCTTTGCTCTTGGGATGACTCTGGAGTGCAGTGCTAGCTCTGTGTTCTCTATTGGGAGTGGTTATAAGGGAGGTGGGGATGGGATAGACCTTCTTGCTTGGCACAAACAGCTTCAGGGGCTCTGGTTAGAGCTCCGTTCCTGCGAGCCAGGTTTTATAAGAGCAGGCAGCTGCACTTGACAGATTTCTGGTGACTGGTCAAGCCTTCTTGGGCACCAGCCAGTTGCTGGATCAGCCCCCAGAACTCCTTGAAGGTGATTCCCTCACTGTCCTTGACATTCATAGTCTTCAGCAGCTCTGCCACAGCCTGGTCATCACCGGAGTTCTGCAGGAAAAAGAGACTAGTTGACACAAATGACTGGACCCTCTTTGGCACAAGATTCTTATTAGCCAGCAAAAGACCGAGCAATGACTACAGAGAGTAATCTCTTTGCTCTTTTTTGGGGTGAGTTTTGATAACCTTTTTGTTTTGCGAAAAATGGATATTGGAAAGTACTATCACCTGCAGAGCACTGGTGTGGTTTAACTACTCACAGTACAGCAAGTTGCCAATCTAGCCTCTATACAAGCACCAGCAAGATGACTGAGGTATTTTCATTTTGAAAACCTTTCTTGTTTCTCCATTTGCAAAGGTAAGGAGAAATTCTCCCTTCAGAAAAGTTTATTTGATCTTACAGTGACAATCCGAATGTGATTAATCTGTATTCCCCCCCCACTGGACTTAATGGGGATGCATTCACTTTTTTGGCATTCTTTCTAGAGGTCTTTGAACAACAGCAATTCTGAATACACAGTGCACGTGACATCATGTGTTTAGATTTGAAGGAAGGCTTTTGATTACATTTCTCACAGACAGAATCTCAGGAGTATTTAAATGACCGTACAGTAGGTTCTCGACATCAGAGAGCTAAACATTTGAACACAAAACTGCTTATTCGCGATTCTGTGTGGCTGACGGAGCTTGATTGGAAGAACAGCAGACTGGGATGAAGCATATGTTTCAAATTAGCAACCCAACAGACCGGGGTCGTCACATGAATCTAACTAATGGAGCGAGCCTCTCCCCATGCCTCCCGCCCAAGTATTCGCCACCGGACCTTAGTGTGGGCTTGTTTTTATACTGTTCTGAACCATGACGATTCTGTGTCAGCAGCATGAGGAGTGACAGTCCTGCAGACGACTTTGCAGGCTCTGCGACACTTTCATGTCCCGTTTCACTACAGAGCGGCTTGATAATCACGGAGGCAGAGAAAGCAAGTGCAGGCTGGAGGCAGAGGGGGGATTCTCATTTATTATAGCTATTCACTGTACCCTTGTGATCAGCATTGTTTGTTTTAGTAGATGTTATTTTTTATAAATGTAAACCCAAGCGTTAGTACTTTATCATACATGGGAGAATTACGTATGTCGTCTAACCATAAATACGATATTCTATAATACATTATGCAAGAGTATTAAGGTGGACTTGGTTGTTTTTTTTAATTTGGCTATTTGCAAAAGCATTCTGCAGATCTCGAGACCCTACATATGGAATATAACAGAAATTCTGATGGTGGGCTGAGATAGGCGTCAGGTAAAGAGTATTTGAAACGGTGCTCTGTCTCCCTCTAGTGGACGGATGTCTAAATGTTAGATATAGAGATTACCATAAGCATCGCCCAAAAAGTGAATGGCCATTTTTAATGAATAAAGGGAAATTATTTTTATACAGCTCACTATTTCTATGTACAATAAAATACTCTGCATCAGTACATAATCCCTGTCTTCTGTAAATTGCATGAGCATTTCCTGAAATTGATGGACATACAGTGTAGTTAAGCTTTACTTGTGGGACAGGAGTTATGCTTATTTGCTATGCTTGATTTTTTTTTTTTGATGTTCACTTCTATTCAGTGTATTAGGCGAGTGGTATTTTAAAGTGCTTTGACATTGCTGTCATTTGAAGTGTAACTCAGTTTAAGATTTTTCCATTGGAGGTTTGCACTGAAAACTCACAAGTATACTCTGTGTTTTTAGTACTAGTATGTTAGACGTTAGACTAGGATATGCACTGTAAACTTTTCTCCATTCACACCAGAAAAAAGGTTTATTATACAATACAATCCTCATTAAAATAGTGCAATATTGTTTGTTTTTGCTGTCATTTTTTAAAATGGAATAAAGGCAGAACAGCATGGATAATATTTGAATTTCACAAAGGAAAGGAGGGCAGACGAGTGGCATTGCACTTTTGTAAAACTTCATTTCAAACAGTAAGTTTGTCCATGAAACAAGACTTTATTTATTTTCCACTGCTATCGATATTTGGACATTCAGTTCCCATGGACATTTTCATCCGTCTCACCCACTGAACTCCGTAGCTCTTTCACAGTCGTTGACCACAGGGCACATCCCTTGCCCGTGTCCTCTTGCTCAGCTTCTCAGTTTGGAGGGACACCCTGGTCTAGGACCTGTTTGGGTTCCACGTCTGAATAATCTTCTTCATTATAGTCATAGAAATGTTAAGAGTCTCCTGTTGTTTCATCTTTCTTGTAGTCTATGCTTTTGTGCAGCTTTATGCCTGCGTTTTGAAAACTCATCAGTCTTCATGGTTGAATCACTGCTTGATATTCACAACCTGACTCACTGACTGTACAGAGACAGTAGTATTTATAGTATTCTGAAGTCAGGTGAACCAACATTATTGCACATTCAACTAATTGTGTGCCGTGTTAAAAGTCATTTTGTGCACCTTAATTTTTGAATACTCATCCAATCATGACATTTCTGTTTTATATATTATCTATTTATTCCTCCATTTTCGTTTCTTGCTTTGAATGTGTGGAGTAGATAGTGTATATAACAAATACGGCTGCTTCAAAAGAGTCCCGACTACAAAGCAACCACGTGTGAAAACTGTGCAAGAGTCTGAATACTTTTGCATGCTACTTTGCGTAAGATACACTGTATGCATAACAGATTTTACAGAACACATTTTTTTAGTTATTGGATATTATAATTGTTTATGTCATAAAAATCAAACTACAAAGACTGTGACCACAGAAATAAGAAACGGGACAGGCATTCTATCCCCACTGACAGAGACCTTGTGACCCAACAGCAAGTTCAGTCCCCACGCTGCACAGGCAGTGAACTTCACAGCTCCTCAGACTGTCTTCCAGAGTACTTGCAGCTGCATGGTAACAATCTGTCCCCTAGGACAGAGCTCTCACAACCCCACAGTGTAACAGATTGTCCCCCGTGACAGAACCTTTCCTGTCCCACTCACACAGCCCGTCTGTCCCCAGTGACAGTCCTCACACCTCCATACTGCATAGGCCCCTCTCATGACATTCATCTGAATGATAAGTACTTTGCAATAAATGTTTTCCATGCATGCATGTATTGAGTTTGCATGCATTTGACTTTGGTGTTGTAATGCACTGTATCTCAAGACAATACAGACCCATCTGGAAATGATGATACAAGTTAAATGGATGCTATGAAAATCTGTGAGGTTTCCAGTCATTTCATTTATAGGAACAAAAGGCATATTGGCATATTTCTACAGGACAGGCATACCCTATGGGAGTGCCTGTCCTATAGAAATGGATCTTGTAATTGATTAAATCATCTCATTGATCTACAGTAGGTCTTGAAATAGGGTACAAGAACAGGTTGTCATTCTTCAAGAACAATTTTTATTTTGGCCACACCCTTTGTGAACAACATCAGTGCTGTTTTCCTCTGCTAGTCTGAGCGCTGCCTCTGATCATCCAAAGAGTACTAATTCAGGAGTTGGAGGTACATGTTCTTCCCACACATTTTTGAGTAGCTCTGAAAGGCAGCCAGCTTTTCTAAATGACACACGGCTCACGGCTCTGTCTCCCTCTCTCTCTTCCACGCCCTCGCTCTCTCTCTCAGGCACCTGGCTGGGCCGCGCCTACAGGAAGAATGACTTGCAGCCACACCCTGAGCATGCACTCAGTACACACTCACCCTCACTTCTAGTCCTCTGCCTGCCTGTCTCACAAACCCTCTCACTCTGCTTGGTATTTGCTTTTCTCTGCCCATTCAAATGAAAGTGGACCCAGTATGAAAGCCGTTGTGAGAACACGCCACTGCGATGGGGTTTTCTTGTATATGTACGGCAGTGCTCGCGCACACCGGCGGGCACTCGGACACCCGGGCAAGCTCAGGCAGCTCACCTTCACCAGGTTGGGAAGCTGGCTGGACAGCAGGCTCTTGAACTCCTCAGTCTTCAGGGTCGTGCCATTGGAGCCCGCGGCATTGTGGAACTCAGTCACCAGAGTGTTAATGGCATTCTCCAGGTCTGAGGGCTTCTGCTGGAGGAGGGAGGGGGGGGAAGAGAGAGCAAGTCAGGGAACTCCATCTTGGGTTGGACTCACAGGACCTACAGCTGGTCCTGCAGCAGTGCACTGGGAGCCAGCATGACAAAGGCACAGCCCGGTACAGCAGAGGGCCTTAATGACAGCGAAAGCATGAACAAAAGTGCATCAGAGAACGTCGAAGCCACGGTGAAAGCACAGACGCAAACGAAATGAGAAACCATTTCAATGTAAACGACTAGCCTAGGCACAGTATAACCTGGGGAACCAGAAAACATTACACCGGAGTCTTTCTAAAGTAGTTTTGTGTAAGATTCCTGTAAAAACAACTGCCTCATTTTCCTGATGGCTTGAAGTAAAAGGCTCAGTTAAATAATAAGACTGTATCTTCTCATCCATCTCTGAGCCTGTGTTAATCAAGGCAGGTAAACAGACCTGGGTTCAGCACTGGGTGGAAGGGCTGTTTGCTCTGGGTTTGGACCCAGATCCGGAACAGCACTGCTGCACTGTGACTCAGAGGTATCACTCCTGCTTTTTACTAGTCAATTCAATTCAATGGGCGTTTTTTTGGCATGACCGAAGAATACCATTAACACAACAGTTACTGTATAAACATATCATTGCATATATACATATACACACACATCACATAAAACATTGTGGAGAGCCAGCCTGAGGTTTCTCAGGCTGTGACAGGAAATCACATACTAGGCTGCAGTTTTATTGGGTTTCCTTCCTCAGTAGGACTGGAAGCTACTCCATTTCTGCCAGCAGTGGGAATTCTGGGATTAGGGTTCTTACTTTAAGGAAGAATGTCAAATTCCAGGGGACTTCTTCAGTCAAGGAAGCTAGGCTGCTGCTGACTGTGTGAGTGACCTCAACCAAAAGTTACTGCTCTCTAAACAGAAAGCAATTAATAAAACAATTACGCATTGGAACCTAACATGATCAGGAGTTCACCAAAGAATTCATCTGAAGTAACAGAATCTCTTTAATCCCGGAGAGGACTGTGAAAGCAATCAATTCAAGTGCTGTCTTTTTGTCAGAGTCCACTCTCTGGAATCCTGGAATTCCAGGAAAGACTGGCTGTGTTTATGGGATCAATTAGCTACTAGGATCCAGAAAAGCAAAGGGTAAATGAACTACACAGGAAGCCCACAATTTTCTGCTCAAATGTCTGTGAACATGTTTGTAATTAAGACAGCCATGACAATAATGCGATATAGATGTCACATGTAGAAGGGTGTGTACATATTGGAATTCCCCGTTTTCTGAAGCTTGAGACCAAAATAAATTTAAGATTAATTGCTGATGTAAAGAGGACATTTGCTCAATCTAGTTGATTTGGTTTCCAGTAGGTAATTGATTGCATCTAACCATTTCTTGAAAGAAACCAAAAATAAGTATCTAAAACAAGATAACATGGTACTCTGTATATTGTTCCTGATATCTATAACTCTTTGTGAAAAGAAATGACTCAGTCCAAAAGAAATTGATTATACTGTACCATGTTGAAGAAAACAAAACACAGTCACAGGAACTACTGGAAATCTGTCAAAACAGGCAGATTATTGACTGCCTAAATTTGCTGCTGTTTTTAATCAGCCACACAAGCATTTCATTACATCGGCTAAGAGAAAAGGAAAAACAGAGCTGCCAATGGTAAAATACCTAAAGCTTTTTCTAGGTGGTGTGTAAGATTCTCAACTCAATAAAAAAATGGAATCAAATTACCCGTTAGATTTTGGGAAAACGCGCAGACTCAGTAACATTAAAAATCCAGGCTCTCAAAGATGCCAAACGAGGCTGAAACTGAGAATTAGAGACTCTTGCAGAAAGGGCTGCATTTAATTTGGAAATTAGATGCATATAAGATCCCCGTAGCAATAACCGCCTCATTTTCCTGATGGCTTTAAGACGTTCTCAGGCACTGCATTTAAAATAGCAAGAGGAGAGGAGCACACAGCTGTCACATCTATTTCAGTAAAATACGTAGAGGCTGTTAACAGTTCACCTTCACACAACAGGTAGAATCACAGACCAGCATCAGCTACACAGTTTAGCCCATCAATTTTCCATAAGGACAGGGCATGAGACAGAATTTCACATAAAAGAAGATAATCCTAAAACCAGTTTGAAGAAACAAACTGGGTTTTAACTAAGACGGAGGTTTTTTTTGTAAGACAACTTTATAATAATTAATAACTAACGTTGGTAAAAAGGGAAGATTACAGCATGAATGAAGCCCATTATGAAGGATAATCTGCCTTTAATTTGTTCATAGACCCTGATCACAATATTGTATATGGCAGCCTGTAGTCTATCTCTGAATTCTTATAAGGAAAATTAAGGTTTTCGATTAGTTTTGTGCATCAGTGTGTCTATTTTTGTTATATTATTGTTCCTCTTCATCTCAAGTCTGTATCTTGTGTTTCAGGTCATTGAACTCTTAAAGCACAGTATGCATTTAGATATTTTTCACAAGCTCTTTTGTACCTTTTTGAGAGCCCCATGAGCTGTATCCTTTCATGCCAAATAAATGATCCTATAATACTGAGCACTACTTCTGATGTGATTCAATCTATTTCTTAGCACTGGCATACTTTGATTTGGAGACTTCCTCCAAATCAAAATTTCTCAGACATTTCTCAAAGTACATAGAAGCCTGAGACCTGTATATCTGTTCTCGGGTAGCTCATCATACCCCCATTCCTGCCCTGCAGTGCGAAAGATGCAGCAATGAGAAACAAAGTGATGAGCAAACCTTCATTTAGAGGTAGGCATCCCAGGGCCACTGTGCTGATGAGTAACACAGCCCTGAGGTTTCCTTAGGAACTGGGCTGGAACATCTAACCTCAGCACAAATATCTCGTAAATGGCAATTTCCTTTAATCCCCTTTGTCTGCCTTTCAAGAGCGATTTCTTCATTCCAGTTTTAGTTAACTCCCCAACGACTATGCCTGCTCACTCTGCATAACATTCTGCCTTCAACCTGATCTCCAGAAACCAAGCTCTGCCAGAATTATCCTCAGTATGTTTGGGGCTAATTTCTTCTAGCTTATAATCATCTAATCGCATTACTCGAGTAGTCCAAATCAAGACTCATCAAGGGCTATGTGCATTTGTATCTGTTGACTGTATAAAAATATGTGTTTGATATCCATTAGAGATGTTCAGTAAGAAGGATTACCTAAGGAGAAGGGCTTTAATAGCATTTTTGTCCTGAAAGAATCCTGAACTCAATACTTCAGGACTGTATACTTATACTGTGATTGAAGGAACATGAACAAACGAGTCAATGACCTAAGAATTATTTGCAAGACAAGATTTTAGGATCATTTACCTGTTGCTAATTATCTTCTTATCACATGAGCAAAGTAAGCTCAATGACCTCCCTTTGTCTACACTTTGAACTGCACTTAAAGCAGTCAGAAATACTAAAACATACTTAAACTGGGTTTAGGATGCAGGACAATTAGGATGTATATTTACTGAAGGAAGACACCCCATTTCAGCTGGGGAAATCCTCACGTGATTCTGGATCTCAAGGATCTAATTATCCTGGGAAGAGGCCACGACACGCCTTTGTGTTCCCAAGGTTACCTTCATAACTGTATGCAAAGCCCCACAGCTGGACAGAGAAGCTACGTTGATCACTGCCAAGTCATGCTGAGTAAATTCACCCTTTATGTCAAGCTAAGAACTTGATGAATTATCAGTGACTTTGGCAACAAGGTGGATCTCTCCAAATTCAAATTAAGGTTGTTGGAAAATGTTCAGGTCTACTGGCATGGCCATTTACATTGCAAAGTGGGTCTACCTTAATTTCTGAATTCTTTCATTAGTAGCAACTAGAGAGGGGAAGCAGACACTGTAGAGACGTTTCTGAATACTCATGCATGTAAACACTTTTAAACCTTTAGCTATTGATCAGCATGAGCGTACTTTGTTCAACTGGAATGTCAGAATTCAAAACCATCTTCAGTTTCAAAATGTATTTTATAGAATATAATATGTATTTTCATAAATGAAAAGGCTTATCATCAGTTTACTGGCATCGGCTATCAAGAGCAAAATGACCCATACCTGTATTATTGAGGAACATACGGTAGATGCACACAGCCCTGGTGTTGTGTCCAAAAATACTAAAAATCCTGTCCATCAGAAAGAACCATGCTATCTTTGTAAAAATAAAATTGAATCATGTTTCAATCAATCACAGTCAACTTGTTAGTACTTAAGCAAGGTTAAAAAAGGGAGAGAGCCCATTTGTCATTTCAAGCAAGTTCTCAAACTAAGGATTCTGTCCTGCTATTTATTGACAGATTCCACAGAATCTTCTCCAACAACATGGCTTGTTCCAGACTCCCATACATATTGTGTAAAGCCACTCTTCTTGAATTCAGCTCTAAATAGGCTCTTTCCCCATTTCCATTTGTAGACTTTGTTCTATCTGGTCTTACTCTTAAACTAAAGAGGTACTTCAACTTTCTTGGACTAACTGAAGGATGTTCAGTTTGTCTATTCAGGATTCTTTTAGTCACCGTTGTCCAAAAACTGAAGCAGATTAATCCCCATCTGTGTAATTAGTTTGAGACCAGAAGTTAGCTTTGTTGCCCCTTTTTTTTTTGCACTGAATCCAGAGCAGCAATGACAAAGCTCCAATTCCAGACAGTGGTGCCTAGACTTGCAAGGCTTGCTAAGCACTTACCAAGCCCTGCTGCGAATAAAAAAAAACAAACAAATTAAGATCGGGCGAGTCCAAATGAAGCCGAGAAATGACGAGTGGACAATGAGGACAAGAAGATTTAAAGGAGAGTCTCTCCAGCTCAGCACAAACCCCTGAAAGGAAACATTAAAGGCTGTATGAATGCAGCTGCTTCAGCAGACACTGTGCTAAAAGACGGGGGTTTGAGAGGAGAGGATATAAATGAGAGAATCTGAGGAATTCAGCCTGGGATTTCAAAATAAGAGCATTGCTGTTGCAACAAGATCAGGATCCAAAAAACTAAACTTACATTTCTGTTTGTGGCAGAAAACACAACACAGCATATTTATTATTAGGCTCTAGTAAATGCATCTGGCACAAACCCTGTTAAAATTACATTGCAGAAAGCTCTTTTTTTTTTCTAATCATATCCTTAAACCAACTGCTTAAGCACGGTCTTTTTCAAATGTTTCTCCTCTTTCACGTACTGTAATTTGCTTAACACACCTATTTCATCCTACTGGTTCTTTTATTACCATGCTTTGCATGATTATTTAAATGTTTTCGGTTGTGTAGTGCTTCAAGTTATAGACTGACGCTGTGAAAATAACTGTACAAAACAAAGCCGCCGAAGAACAATTATCAACAAAAATTAGACCCTTTTCACAGAAGCGGAGAGCATTTATCTCGGAACCTCATCTGCTTGTCTGTTGAGGGATCCAGGCAGATTGCGGAGAGAGGAGAGTAATAAGACAGAGCTCTGTTTGTTAGAGTCTGTGAGGTGTTTGTCTTCAGGGTGTAGCAGCAGCTCCAGAATCCAGTTGGGCAACTCAGTGGGGCAAGTCAGGAACTAGCAGGAGTAATGATGACATTCTGACTAACTCCCTGGAGCTCCATTTGTGACACACAAGACGAGCAAACAGTTCTTGCAACATTCTCAAGAGCACCTGGTGGAATCTGAGCTGTATTGTGTCGGCACTCAAGAGGATCTGAACGGGACAAACTCCCTGCTGAACACCGAGACTTTACTAATGAGAAAGGGAATAGAATATACAGCATTTTATTTCTGTATACCACATTTTACCAGGGTATAGAAGTGTTCATTATAACAAACAATTCATCACACTGTATTATGGTGTATTACAGTATACCATATTGTCATGATTACCATAAAGTAAAACGGTTTTATAGCAAGCGTCGTGGGAGTTCACCAGCATCTGTTTAATTTTGTAAACGCATACCAGGTTTTCCCAAAATTAATTATACAATGTCACAGTTTCCTGTGATGAATTACAGTTAAAACAGAATACTACAGTTAACCTTATCACGGCAAACCACTGTTATATATATCCTATATTAGAGTTTATAGCACACAGTATAGCGGTTCACCCTGGTGTTTTATAATTTATCATAGTATACCTTATTTTACTATGGTGCTTTGTAGTTCACTATAACTATAATATACCATAGCTTGTGGTAGTGCATTACACTACTTTCAATGTTATTCCAGCAGTTTTCCACCTAGGAACTGACTGGGCAGGGCAGGGCAGGGCGGATCCATCCTGTGGGAGAGTCCCCTCAAAGTTTATCTCCCGATAATAGAAGGAGTCTGTTTTGACTGATATTTATCTCGCTTTAAATATATAAAAAGCGAACGACAGAACTTCGAGATACTGGACTATCCCCCCACTACGGTCGATCATTTATTACATACGGTATTTCTAACCAGAAGAGCTCAGGGGGAGGTTTAAAAACGAGCAATTCTAGCATGTCACAGCATTATTTCCCTGGGGGAACATTTTAATAATTAAAGCCCAGGTCTCGCATGGACTGATTAAACCGTAAAAAGTAAAAAAGGTGGGGGTCTACTTAAGTTACAGCACAAAAAAAAGCCAAGCGCTGTCTTTTCCATCAACGTGGAAACAAAGCTGGCGAGCGGGCGAATTTTTTTTTTCTGCACAGCAGAGCACGAAGTCCAACTCCCTTTCCTCTTTGCTGGACAAGAGCATATTATCCCTGACAAGCGTCTGTCTGCGAAAGCAAAGCGCTGATTGAGTTCCCGTGATTGCAGTTTAAGTCTAAGGACAACACAGTGGATCAAGAGAAAGGCGCAGAAATTCATCCGGACTAAATCCATTTAACGTCCTAGCCCCTGATCTCGCTGATCGACTCGAGTTTCGGGGTACTGTTGATTCCGAAATATTTTAAAATCCAACAGCGCCTCAAACTTTGACCATCGGCGTACAAGGGACAGCGTTAGGATATGTATTAAAAATAAGACCTACAGAACAATAAATCAAACACCACCTAGTTTTCGATGTTTCTTGCTACAGGAAAAAAGTTTATTATTAAAAAGGAGTTAAGAGTGTCATTTGTAAATTTTACCTTCCAAAATTACATTTCCCATTTTCAAGACGATCAACGCCCTTCTGTAACTTGAAAGGTGTTTCCACGCGTTTCGAGTGTCTCGGCTCAGTGATCACAACACTGCAACGCTAACTGCGTTATAGCAATAGCTTACTTAATTGGTAAAATACACAGACAATAAGTAAAATAACTGCGTCTAGATCTACAGCTTTACTCAGTTATGCAGATTTACTTTTTTTTCCCTTTACGGTTATCCTTTTTACCTACACGACCGCTCCTACTGGCTTTACAAACTGTAGATACTTTGCAAAACCAGACAAAACCTTTCGAAAACCGGCAACATGTGGATCGTATTATCCCCTACCTGATCCGCCATTTGGAGTTTTCTTTCCCTTGATTTCAATATCTGCCGAAGTTGCCCTGCAAAGTTTAACAGTTAAAACTTTTCTCTCTCCCTCTCTTTCCTTCTCTCTCTCTCTCCCCCTCCCTCTCTCTCTCTCTCAACGTGCCATAGCTCTCCCAAGCACAGCCTGGCTCCGCTCCCAAGTCCACCCACTCCCTGGAAACGCGCAGGGCGACGCGAGATTCCACCTCCAGTGTCAGAGAGCCGGAGGAGAGAGGCGATGTGGCAGAAGAGCTACAGCCGAAACACAATTCACTGGGGTGGGGTTGTGGAGGAGGTGGGGGAGATTAACAAAGCCAGGCGAGGAAGGAAGGGCAACTATTATACAGGGCTGTGATACATTGTTCACGTTTTTTTTTCCCATTCAATTAATTAGGCCGCTCAAGTTACAGAGTTACAGTGCACCCCCCCCCCCGAAAGGATCTGGGCACATCTGGATCTTTTTAGGAACAGTTGGAACACGCCTCGGATCAACGAGGGCTTCCCTTCAAGTTTAGACTGGTTGACCGACCATTCTTTTCATTCAGGGCGTAGTATTTAAAGACGAAGTTGCGAAATCAGTCGCGATCCCGTAGTTGGTGGAATAAATTGCACGAGATTGAAAACTCATTCCCCATTCCAAGACGACGTTTGGAAGTGCCGGGGCCATCTGGGAAGGCTCACATCCTGCGTGGAATGCGCTGGTTGACGGCGCAGCGCTCCTGCGTAACACAGGTGTGGCCGAGCGCTCGAGTTATCAATACTCATCGCTTTAACACAGTCACGGACGTGGGAAAAAAAAAGCCGCAGAGGCAAAACGGGTCTTACCACATTCTGGAGATTGCTCCCGGTTTTTAACCGCGCACTTCTGAAAACGCTGTGACTATTGCTTTCTCTTTGAGTTCATTTGTTGTCTTGAAGCGTGCCGGGGATTTTGATACCGTTCAAATATAGATCACAACACATGATCTATTTCAATCAATCAGTATTGGACGGCTGCCCTGCCTGCAGGTCAACAGGTCCCTGCATTAACTGAACTGAGGGTGTAGTGCTGCCTCTGAACAAATAGGCACCTTTTTGATGTAGCATTCTTGTTTCTGTCTGTAAAGTGCTTAACACGTTATTAGCGCTACGTCCACGCATGTGGGAGCTATATTATCTCAAACACAGTATCAACACTTTTAGCTGAGCATGGGCCCAGCAGCATCTGGGCTGGTTTGAAAGGAATTACAAGTTACATATGGGATTTAATGCAAGTTTCTAACCTTGACCCAGCCCTATAGACCTACAACGAGTCCTGTGACATTTTGGCAAGTATGTTTCAATAAGCAAATATCTTTGGCAAATATCTTTCAATTAGCATCAGTTTAGAATAAATACTTTGCAATTTGCAAAGCACTGTGAGAAAATTACCCAAATTCTGGTTGTGCAGGACTCCTGTGTTCTCTAGTTGCCCTTCCTTTATCAGATAGTGGAGCCTTATTAAACCTTTTTCAACCCATTTCTGCAATCAGTTCTTGCCAGGCCACAGGTGTGAAGAGAAATAACAAATATCCAGTCTCTGTTCAGTCTCTCTTTAGCTTGCTTACTAAGTAGCTCCTTCCTTTTTTGGATCCAAACAGCTCTCAATAGGCAGCCAGTTGGCGATGTTCAGACATAGGCAGGGATGACACTGTGTCAAACCTCCCATAATTAACACTTTGACTCTGGTTGTGCCCTGTAGTTTAAGTTGCCAATGTTGTGCAGGGCTAATACTAATTATTAGCCCAGTCTATGTTTTTAAGAACTGAAAACAGTTTTCAAAAGGGGCCATCTTTTACAGAAAGCAATACAGTTAAATTAAATGAATCATTTGACCTCATTAATTAAGAACACAGGTAGAGTGGAAACCAGGAGACACAGGAGCCCCCCAAGACAAGTGCTGGGAGACTATGGGTGGCCCAACCCCCAGAATTGCTCCTTGGGACACCAACGTCTGGCTTCATTGTGACTGAACTATCAGTCTCCAGGTCTGAATCTTTAACTACAGTAGGCATCAGCTGTGCAAGACCCTTTGAATGCTGTTTGAATTATTTAACTAAGGCTGCAGATATCACTTGTATTGTACTGGGCAAGCAAGGGTGATGTCTCTGAGTACACAGGGTGCCATTGTGAGTAAGTTCATACAATGTACAAACATTTCTCTAAACTAGTGGGTCTAAACTTGGGGTGCAGGCAGCCCCTGGGGGTATGAGAAACCCTACCTGGGGGGGGTACGAGACAGACCAGAATTTTTTAGAAATTAAATCATAAAAAAAAACACAAATTAAGCAGGAACGCAAGTACAACCACTTTGTTTCATCAAACCTAGGCATTTTAAGATATACTTAAAAAAGTGTGTATTTTTCATGTTCTTCATTTTTCTGCAAAATTGAAAATAAATATATAATTCTTTCTCTTTCAGTCTGTGGTGATATATCTCAGGTTTAAAAAACTGACCTGCTTTAGCAATTTTTGTAAGGGGTGTGAGAACATATTTTCAGATCCAAAGGGGTGTAGGGCTGCAGTAAAACCACTTTAAAAACTCCTGCTCTTAATCATTAATCTTCTCACCAGTGATCTCCTGCAGAAGCTGCTCGGGCTATACTGTATAGACAAATGAGAAATCAGAGATCTATACAGTTGGCACTGTCATTTACAAATTATTTTTGGAGGAGCTGGTAAAAGGGATTTAAATTATCACTGCCTGCTTTTGAGATTGAAACAGTGCTGTGGGATGATCACTTTGGGAGAATATAAAAGGAGAATACTGGACGCCGTTAGTCATTATTGAAAAGACTTGACAGTTTCTGTTAATGCTAGTGAAGTTAGTAATGTTCCATGTGAATCTCCAGCTCTCATGCTGGGCAGTGTTTAAGGACCAGTGTCCAACAGTGGCTCAGGGCTGTCCAGCAAGCTTCCCTGAGTCCCAGCCAGCTCCTGTACTGGCTGTGACGTGGTGCTCAGTGCTGGTGCTACAGGGTTAAGGGCAGTGACCTTCTGCAGATGACCATTCTGGCTGTCCTCACTGTCCCCAGTGGACCTGTCGGTCAGGTCCCACAGGCTGACCTGGTCTTGGCTCTGGCAGTGCTCCAGGAAGGCCTGGGGGTTAGGGGTACTGGTGTCAGAGCTGTTCCACTCTTCCCTCTCTTGATAGCTGAAGTCCAGGTCACTGTGAATGAGCAGCAGTTATTATTGCATGTGAGCCAGCTGGGCTCAAATGGAAACTGCAGGTTTCTTTTTATTAAATAACATGATCATTGACATGTGTGGCATGCAGAGCACATCATTTTGGGGTAATAATTGACACATGAATGGAAAACAACACAACTTCATCCTGGTTGCAGTAATCACTCAGACATAAGAATTTTTGCGACTGTAAAAATACAAAACTGTTTTGCCTCTTGTGTCATTATGGATTCTCAATAAAGAAAAAAGCTGAAAAAGGATGGTTTTAGGTTTGCTCTTTCCAGGAGTGTAAAACGTGTGAGGAATTATGACGTGTGACCGATGGAGGGATGTCAAGGGACTCTCACTCTTCAGGAGTGAAGCTCCTCAGGTGATGCTCTAGAAAGAGCTGGGAGACTTCAGCTGAAAGCTGAACCGCACTGACACAGTTCAGCTGACTCTACTTGTCTGACCTGTGATGGTGGCTTTCCTGGCTGCTGATGTTACTGCTGGTGTCACTCTCACTCTGCTGCTGTCCCAGGCAGGATGGCTCTCCTGCAATAGGCTGGCCCTCCTTCTCAGACTCCACTCTCCTTTTCCTCAGGGCCTGCTTTATCCTCTGTTTCAGAAGCTTCCTCAGGCGGCCCCTGTGCTGCAGCTCTGAGTGCCTCAGGCTCTTCAGGGCAGAAGTCCACAGCCCTACTGTCTCCTCGTCGCTGGAGTCCCTGCAGAACAAGCCCAGTGTTACTGAGAAACAGAGAAAACAGAGATGATAGAACCATGACTTATACACCTTGAAACTGTACATATAGGCTCCAAATCTGAAGATTACAATTTCAGGGAAAGCAGACAATGAAGTGTAAAATGCCCAAACCCTACAGAACTGGTGCCTTCAGAGAGCACACTACAGAAGGAAGGAATGAGACAGAGCTAAAAGAGGGACACAGTACAATGGAACAGGAAGGATGTGGAATCGTACAGAAAGGATGGCGCCATTTTAAAGAGCTTCTGCTTGATGATCTATAAATTCTGTCCACTGCTCAACAGACAGCTTCAGGATCATGGCTAAGGAGTTGATTTCAAACTCCTCTGTGAAAAAAAAATAGCTCCCGTTTTCTGTCTTAAATTCTCATTTAAAATTAGAACCTCACATTTTTTGGAATTCAAGTGAATCAGCAACGGTATTTAATATTATACTAATAGGTGTAGATATTAGCATACAAACCTATAGAATAGTCAATGATTACAGTTCTGGAAAATGCTCAGATGGAATCTCTACAATCTTAAGACAATATGGCTTTGAAGGTCCAGGACTGGACACCCTTGCCCTTCAGTGAACTGGACAGGCTTGGTTCCCACCTGGAACTGCATACTCACAGCTCTTCTTCATGGTTTTCTGGGAAGGTTAGGAGCCTCATACACAAGGAGCAGATGTTGTCCAGACTGCTGAAGCACTGCCTGCAGTACAGACCTGAGACACACAACACACCCAGTGCCAAAGATCATTACCCCTTGTTTTACCAACACCTGGAGGAATATCGATCTGGGATGTCTTCCCCTCTGCACATCTGCCCAGGTTAGACCCCCGAAACAATTAATTAGTTTTGCCAACTGCTAAAACCTAAAAGCACTTTTATTACAACGGGAAAATAAGTGACTTAAATTAAATAGCAGAGCAGAAAGACTAAAACAAAATAAAATAACCTGTATCCCTCCTAGTTTCACTGAGTCAAGAGGAGTGAGTCTGTGGTAGTTTTAGGATTGAAAAGTCTACATTTAGTTAAAAAGCAGCTAATAAATTATTATTTTTTCACTTAACATTCAGTAAATGTATTCATAGATAAATCAAATCTATTTGTAATCTTTCAAGGAATCTGCTAAGGGCAGCTCAGAGGTACTGTAACTGCTACCTTAGATTTATAACCATAGAAGGAAAGTGCCAGTTTTTTTTCTTGATCATACTGGAAGCCACAGGTCCTTTTTTATTATACGTATGGTGTTTTCACCATTTAGGAACACGAGACAACACCTTTTTTCAATGGGAAGAGCTGTGAATGCACTCTGGCCCCAAGCACAGAAATGAATGAATGCAGTGAATGAAAGTGGAGCCTCTGGAAGTGATAAATAACCACTAACACACTGTATGTAGTAGTAATAATACAGTGTGGAGGTGATGGATTCTGAATTGAAGGGGGCAGAGCTGGGAAGTCAGAACTGGTAGCGCAAGTCCTCTTTGTATTGTACGTCTGTTCGATCATCTTTGCAATTGAAAGGCTTTACCTTTGCACTGAGGAGTGACACAGGGGACAAACTCCATGGGTAGCATCCCTTCTGCAATCTTCCCGCAAGCCAGACAGCACCTCTGTGTCGCCCCCAAGAGCCCTGCTATCCTAGAGAATCCTGGGATACTGTGTAGGAATGAGCATGAGAGGACTGCTCAGTGATGGCCCTTTGCCTCTGTAACCCACAATACTGAACAGTTCTAAGAGGCCTCACCCAGTAGTCTACAGAGGATAAGTGCCTGCTTTTTTCATAAGCAAATTTAAAACGTGCTGTTTCTTCAGAACTGGGAACAATAGATGTAGATGTTGATATCGATGATGGTGATGATACTAATATGAAGAAGATGTAGAGTGTTCACACACCTATTCAGCATTTTTCGACTCAGCACCCCTGTTCTTCCTGGACTTACACTCCAGCTGAGCTCTCAGTTATAGAACTGAGCCTCTTTAAAGAGAAACAAGTTCATTCTAAGCCTTCAAGGAATGTCTTCAAAAGGTTATAGGAACTAAGTCTCTCGGACGAATCAAACTGTGGGGGAATTTGTTGCGAGTTTTTTAAAGGCAGTAAGATACTAAGAAACTACTTCAGGATTAATGGTGAGACCTCATTACACCAGAGGAAATTTAGAGAAAGGCTTATATAACCAAGGAAAGACTTTTCAGAATGGGTTGTGAGATTCTACAACTAAGTGCCCAGTAATGTTGTTGAATCTGATTCTTTGGGTTCCTTCAAGAAAAGGCTGGATTGTGAGATTAAGCAGTTACTAGCAATGAAACAAGCAAGCTTGGCTAAATGGTCACCTGTCTTTTCTTATCTTCTTGCATTCTGATAATTTCCATTGTCCTTTTGCAGTTGTTTCTTGTTTCTTAAACAAGTAAAGGATTTGAGATTCATTGAAAGACATTTTAAACTACAAAACGTTTCCAGCTGAAGAAAATAAACTCAGATTCATTGAGGTCTCAACAATGTAATTACAAAGTGCTTTAGAAAAAAGATCAGGAGTCACTTTCATACTAATCTACAAAACCTTTAAAGGAAAACACATATGCTGAGAACCTTATCTACAAAAAAATAATAAAACAATCTTTTTTATAGTTCAGAATAGCCAGTTATTTTTGTTCTACAGTACCTAGCAGATATACTGTAATTAGAATAGCCAATTGTATGTTTTGCCATGTCTCAGCTTGCAGCTACTAAACGGAACCACACACAAGGGAGAACAAGACAGTCTAGTCAGAATACTCTGCCCCCTCCACCTTTGAGCCACTAGGCTTCTAACAAGTCCAAGACAGCCAGTCCTGTACAGCAGGCTCAGAGCCAGATGGAAGAGAGCCAGATCTCTTATCAGCTCTCACAGTGCCACATGTCAGCAAGCACCCAGGAAGACACAAGGAGAGCTGAGAGAGCCCTTAACAACTAATCCCACCTTGCTCTCTGCAAACCTCTGCCAGCTGTGCACCTCTGCTACCTATTGACATGACCCAGCATCAAACCTCTGATCGCAGATAGCTCAACCTGTGTTCTGCAGGCATCTGTATCAGCTAAGCCACTCAAGAGGCCCTGCAAAAAATGAAGCTTTTAAGCTTGCTCCTTCTCCTGCAGAGCCACAGAGTCTTCTAGGAGTTATTCTATCTGAGATCTTACTGACTGGACCAGTTTGTGTCTTGACTGGTCTTTATTATTACTGCTTATAAGGGTTTAGTGACTGAGGAGTCTGATTGCCCTCTAAAGTCTTCAGGGCATTGGCTCTTTAGTGACCTGGCTGAAGAGCAACATTATATTTCTGTTGTGACTTAACCAGAGTGACCAATGTCCACTACACAGGGCATAAACACTGGACTGTTCCCCCTTTTAAAATACAATGCATCTCATTACCAGATGACTTTATTCTAGCATGTTTTATTCTGTGGTAAGACTTGACTCATCAGTTTATTAAGCCATGAGCTTTTATTTTTATAGCAGTGTCTGTTGGGTGTTGACAGTCTCTGCACTTATCTGACCTGCCATCAGGTAAGTGCTTTGCCACATGCTAGTTAATATATACTAGTTAAGAGCACATCTGAATAATAAAGTGAAATCAGTACACAGTGACACAGAGTGAAAAGTCATTTTACGTTGTAAGAGTGTGACCATGGATAAATGGGTAGATGCTGTGGATCTTACTGGGCAGCCAGTATGAGCAGGAGGCTGGAATGACCTTTGTCCACTGACTTCCTCTGGACTGATCGCAGGAGAGCTGTGCCCAGGGACACACGCTGACATAGGATCCGGTTGTACAGGAAACATGTCCTCTCCTGTCCATGCACAAGGCAAGCAGACCAAAATGTAGAAATTCAGAGCAACGTCAAACATAGGGCAAGCACACCATACCCGACAGCTCCTCTGAGCAGTGTCAAACACAGGGGAGAACGTTGAAGGACAGCAAATCACACAGGCGCATTGTGACTGCACCCTCCTGAGCATATGCAAAACCTCATTGTTGCCGAAGCAGTGCAATGGGCATGGAAACTTAAAAAGTCCTGCCAAAGCAAACATCACAGAGTTGCTCAGCTATGAGTCACAAGAAGAGCAGGAAATTAAAGAGTAGGAAAATGGAGATGATTTGTTTCCTTTGGAGGGTCACTGCCTGCTAAGATTGCCACCAGGCTCTGTAATTCCAGAATAATTCATTGGATCTGTTCAGATCTTTGAAAGAAACTGAAAGGAATTAATAAATGCTTTGAGCTTTCAATCTAAAGTGATACTACTGTAATTCTACACGACAAGGAAGTAATGACTCACACACTCCTTTAATGGAATTTCTACTTATTATTCTGCATGTCAGATACTGTACCAGTTAAAACAATGAAGAACCTTTAAAATGCTTGCAGTTTGCAAGATAACCTGCACACATTGTTCCAGTATCACCGGTGATATAAAGATTGGCAGTCTGAACCAGTTGGCTAGTTTAAGTTAATCTCTTTGCTTACATTTTTTTAACACGTCATAGTTTATATCAACCAAAACTAAGGAAACTATGGAAAGTGAATTCTAAAAAGAAAAAAAAAGAAAGATATTGAAGAAGAAAGTTTTGGTTTTATACTATTTAAACAGGCAGTTCCTACACAAAAAACATCGAGATTAAATGAGAAGTTTTTACCAATAGCATAGCCTGTGATTCTGATTGTTAGCAGGCATTTTTTTCCCCTTTATCAGTGAGCCTGTGCTCCAGCATACAGGCTATCATTGTTAACAGATGTTATGACAACACTGCAGGACTTTTCATGACATTGGACATTAAGCGAGTAATTATGGATTACTCACTCCGACCAGCAGCAGGAGCATAGACTCAGATTATATTTAATTGTTTGCATTTCTTAAAAGGAGAGTGCCTTGGTGTACTTCAGGCTCCCAAATGTCGAAGAAATGTACAATACTTGTGAATCTTGGTGGTGAATGAATTCACAGATCAAAACCTTTCAGATCAGGGACATATTTAAAACATTGCCTGGTTTATCCAGGAGATACTGAAGGTTAAACTCATTCCAAAGACAGATTGGGGCCAGGATTCCCAGAATATTTTAAGTTCCCTAGCACAGACTACCCTCTTTTTAGAATACATGATCTACCAGGATAAAAGTGAAGTGAGACTGGAGTAAAAGCAGACTGGCGTTGTGCAGTAAAGCACAGTGCAGCGGTAAAGTCTAGTGGTAATCACAGTAAAGCACAGAGAGGCATTGTATAAGACTGTGGAATGGAAGACTGTATATAGTGGTGAAGTGCTCTAAGGTTTGTCCTCTTACAGTGCCCGTCTGCTTACCCGTTCTCGATCTGGGTAGTAACTGGCGCAGATGAATCTCCGTAGGCGGGTGACATAGCTCCCGGCAATGACAATGAAGAAGGACAGGCCGTAGAGAAGCCCTCCAAGAGAGAGACAAGACTCAGTCACTCACTAACCCCGCCCTCACAGTCTACTGCACTGTGCCTGGGAGGGGTCAAGCCTCAGTCACTCACTAAGCCCCGCCCCCACAGTCTACTGCACTGTGCTTGGGGAGGGGTCAAGCCTCAGTCACTCACTGAGCCCCGCCCTCACAGTCTACT